GGGGGGTCTAATGCAGTATGAGGAAGACTAGGCAGCAGCCGCAGCCGTGGCGGCGACAGGCTCCACCTTCTTTGGCTTTTTGGGACTCGGCTTCTTTGATTTCGTCGCAGACGAAGGTGACTGGAGGGGCGCACTGACGGGGGTCCCCGGAGGCATGCCCGTAGCTGCAGCGGCCGCGGCCGCTGCCTTGGCTTGGGCCGCTCGGTGTTGCCGCTTTTGCTTTGCCACAGTCGCAGCGGATGGAACCTGGATCTGTCCCAAGGGCCCCACTTTGACACGGCTTGGGTCTGGTTCGTCGTCCTCTAGGATAGGCGGTGGTTCGGGCACAGCAAACATCATTTGGGATGGAGGAGCACTTTCCATACCGGGCAGTGGCGGCAGTCCCGCCACAGGAGGTAGAACCGTACCGTCAGGGGCGATGGTGGATCCATCGGGACCCGTGAGCACCTGACCAGCGGGTGCTGGGGTAGGAGTAGCAGCCGCCGACGTGCTTGAAGCGGGTAGTGTTTGCTTGGGGACAATGGGGACGACGATCGATAGCGCAGAAGGATTGTAGGGATCAAACACGGGCTTGATTGCTGGTTCAGGTTCGGGTTTGGGAGATGATTCTTCAACAGGTATAGGTTCGGGTGTGGGAGGTTTCGGAGGTATAATAGGGGTCGCAACAGGTGGGGTAGCGACGCGGGGTGGGGGCAAGGGAGGTGGTATAGGTGTGATGGCAGCGATACGCTGGTGGTAATACATTTGCAAGAGACCAATCTGGTCGTTGATACGTTTGGTCTCTAGTGGCGCAAATTGAGGAGGCGTCGGGTACTTTTCTGCTTCTGCGGCTTTGCCACTGCAAAAACTGGTCAGAGGTGTGTGAATATACAGACAAGAGACGCACAGATCGTTCGTTTTGGCCTTTGCAGATGGCCGTAAGAGTCTTTTTGGCACGATCAGAGTCTTTAAACCGAATTCGGCGTCCAGGCCCATCTCTCTGAATCCATAAGGGTCTTCTCCAAGGTCCCCCAGGCCACTGAATCGCATAAGTAAGAGTAGGGAGATGAAAATGCACACTCACGTCATGACCTCGTTATCATCATTAAACATGGCATCTTCATCGACAGGTTCGTCTCTCTTGGCAGCCTAAACAAGGTCAGTCAAAGTAAAAGGGGGAGAGGACAGCACTTGCCACTTCTTCCAACGTGTTGAGCATGTTGGACAGATTGTTTCCATGTTTGACGATATCACCCTTGATATAGGCCTCCAATTCGTGTACGGTACCTATCGAATTGGAAAACAGGGCATGAAGAACCATTTCCTATCGAATGCATTAGAGGCGGGTCAGCCGGCTGGTAAAAGTGTCAGCTCACCTCTCCGGTCATCTTTCCGTGGTGCGTCTCATGGAGAACTTTGAGAGTCCTGCCAAGATTCTGGATACACTTTCCAGCCACATCACCAAACGCGCGAAGAGCAGAAGCACTCGCACTGTCAAAGTTGGCGTGCTCTAGGATGAGCGTCGACACCGACTCCATACAATCCTGAGCTTGAATCTGCGAAATCTCGGTCTCGACATACTCTTCCCTCCGTCGACTAGCCAACCCCGCCCGCTGACTCCACGGTTTCGCTTTTTTGAGCGATCCACCGACGTCGGCGGGTGGGACGAGCGGGGCAAAGTCTTCAGGATCGACACCTTGCTTTTCGTCCTCGATCTGGTCCGCAATCTTGATCGCAATCTCTCGGGCTCGTTTTCGCACTCGAACATTTTCCGACATGATCTTGAACAAGGTCGACCTCTTTTCCTTTGGACTATCAAAGAAGGACATGAGGAAAAAAGTTCTCGGAGAGAAACGCTACGTACACGCTAGACTGCCTCTTTTTGGAGGGTGTGGTATCCACGTCCATGGCTCCATCTCGCGTCGCCGGTTTTCGAAAGCGGGGATGTCGCAAATTGGGTTGCGGAGGAGAATCAAAGGATTCGGGAACGGCATTGGCCAAGAGAGTAGTCGACCCAACCGCCAACCACCAATTCTCCAACGGGTTCCTCTCCGCGTCCAACGAAATCTTTTCCAACTTGGCCCGCTTCCTCGGCCCAAACAAGTCATCCTGCCTAGAGGTCCTATAAGTAAACGATAACAGTAAACTCGAGTTGAAATACCCACCTCTTGCGCTTTTTGGAGAGGATTTCAGAGCTGGTTGGATCAGGACTATCCGAGCGCTTGATGACCGTGCCATCAGGAGCGACCGTCATACTATTACCGCTCTTGGCCAACCCAGAAACACTCTCTTCTCCTGACGTAGCCCCATCCGCCGCCGCCGCCGCCGCTGCCGCTGCGGTCGTCGCCTCATCATTGACGATCCGCCACACTGCCAACTCTTCATCCTCCTCCACAACCTGCTTGAGCGTCTGATTGACATCCACCACCATAGGCAGTGGAGGAGCCATGCTAAAACTTGCACCAGCAGCAAATATCGACGCCGTGGTGGGTACATTGGAAAAGGACCGCGGTCGTTGCATTACAGGTATAACCGGACTCATAATCGTAGACGAAGCAGCATTCACGAGCGCTCCTATAGCCGCTTCCGAGGGCCCAGGATGAAATCCAGGTATCGGTGCCGACGCAGGCCGTATAATCGTTTCTGGACTCGCCATGATCATCTTGGACGATGCAGAATGCGGGGGAGTCGAAAACCCCGCACCTCCAGCAGCACCATGTACCCCACCACTACCACCAATCAGAAAATCACCCCAGTCGAGGGATGCCAAAAAGTCGTCCATTTGCTGGTTGAGCGAGACAAACGCACCCATGGATTCGGCAGAGCGTTCTAGGGCCGGTCGATCTGCAAATTCCTTGTCGCTCCAACCCATCTTGAACGTGACCTTGGCCTCCGAGTCGACCCCTTCGGCGATAGTAGCGGGAGGTGGTGGTGCCGCGGTGCTTGCGGTGCCTAGTGTCGATGCACTAGTAGTGGTCGGTGCACCTTGCAAAGTACCCGATAGTGCGGTAGTAGACAGAGTCGAGGAATCAATGCCGTTGACGAGCGCAGGCCCCTCCACCACCAAACTCGGGGTCACTCCATTCGGACCTTGCCCCTTGGTCTGACTGACGACCAAAGACTGGCGTTGGAGAGAAGGAGAAGAAGGAGCAGGGGAGGAGAATGTAAACTTGAAGCGGTCAATCATGCTCGGTGCGAATCGTTCGTGGCGGTCTGGAATCCTACGCATGATCGCGTCCGACTTTTTACGCATAATCTGTGCTGCCCTTCTCAAAGGGTGGTTCTACAAGGATTTAGCGGGAGTTGACGTTGTGTCAAAGGGAGACGAACCGGGTCGGTGTTGTAGGTCAGACAATTGTCCCAGATGAGCGTGAGGTCGTCCCCAAAAGCCTTTTTCGACATGTACGAATGCGACTTGATCTTTCTGCCCATGGTCTGCAAGTCCATGGGGTGCTTGATCACTAACGAAATGAGCAGAGGTTTTCATTTTACTCGTTTGCACCCACCTCGATCATAGTCCCATGCTTCCGACTTTTTGACCGGTTTGAGAAAGGCAGCGGCATACTCCTACACCACACTCAGCACACGACCATCAAACGACACCCATCCTCTTACCGTAGCTCTGAGCTCTACCAAAACCTTTTCCAACGTCTCTTCCCATGTTTCGCCGACCTTGGTCTCCTACGCAACATGAGGTGAGCACAAGTCAACGCGTCCACAGAGAATGGTGGTAACGACGGTGTACATACTCCACGAAAACGATGGGCTTGGACGAGCAAGTTTCGGAGGTCTGCCTCTTGAACATCTATGGGTAACTTGCCCGTCGACAGAACCGAAAGAAGGTGCTGTAAAGTAGAGTGATCAGCTAAACTCTCAAGACGGATCGACACGAACCTTCATAACCCCAGCTATACTACAACCGTAACCAATAAGAATAAAAAATCGCGTCGTAAAAGGTATCGCCTGTGTAAAATTGCAATTTAATGGATGGCCAAGCTGGGTTTTCAAACTCCGGCCGGAGAACGTGGTGGTTGGAATCCAACCTGCGAGTGGAAACGGTCAACTCATTGAGCCAGAGCCGGCGATCCAACCCTCCAGCGCGGCAGGCAACGACATTAATGTTGAACCGTGTAGACCAGCTTGTAAACTAGTCACGCCGACTGTATTCACCGCTCGAGCGAACCAAGCCTACCCTTACCACCTGCTCACCGATGAAGATGGCCGAGTTTATTGGAGGGAGGTTAGTCGCGCGCCCGTTATCTTGATGATGTGCATATGCCGCGCGCCGAACGAGCGGGGGAAACGACTTGCCGCATATTTAGAAGTAATTGCTCACCCTCTGTTAATTATCCGCGT